ATATATATATATAAACAAGAAAAAATATATATATATATGTTCTTTTCGTTCCACCACGAAAAATTTATTTTGTCAAGAATTTATCAACATTAGTCGATGCAAGGATTGAATGGAACGTTTAGACTTTATAAGTTTTACAATCTAAATTTTTCTAATTAATTTGTATTAATTACATCAATATATAAATGTATATAGTTTTGATCAAATCAAAACATTTATTTACTTATGAAGGATACATTATTTATGATAAAAAGATAGTAATGATATCCGTGAGTGTAAATCACTTTTAAAAATTTTCATATCTATTTTATCTTTGAGTGAATTTTGAAATGAATTTTTCGTTCTCCCAAGGCTGATTTCCGAGTTGCGAGCGAGAGGAGGCGCGTCAGATAGCGAAGGTGAGACTTTTTGAAAAATATGAGTTTAATAAAGAAGGTAGTATGATGTATGGCCCGGCATCGAGGAAGGGAACTTGCCAGGATCAACCAGCTTCGATACACAGATATTGTATACGTAATATAACTAGATGAAGGAAATGGACGTGATGTACTGGATGTCAAAATGTCTCGCGAGACGTTCGATGTTGCTTTTACGTTACCAACAAAATTGTGAGAAACTTTCTGTTAAATCTAAGAAGGGTGGAAAATACTCGTTGTTGAATTTCGTCGCTCATAGAACAGTCGATCATCCTCTTCTTATTACGATCCGTCAAAAGTCACGAGGATATTATTTACGGAGAAAAAAATTTAATGCTTATTAAATTCAATCCGCATTTTTTACGACAAATAATTTCCTACGCAAGATATTTTATCAAATCATTTATTCATAGATTTTTAAAAAAAGGTTTTTTAATGGAAAAATAATGTTAGGGAATTATTATTTTTCTTCACAAGTTTTTTTTTTCTAAACTAATTCTTATAATATAAGAATCTATTAAAATAAACTTTGCTTGACATTTTTATTAAAATAGTATATTTTTTATTAGAATAACTTGATCTACAGAAGTAAAATGCCCAACCTGTCGTTATTGCATACCTTATAGTATTTGGGAACGTTTTATCACCCTGTGTTTTTCCTTCTCAACGCATAATATTGCGTCGAGGTATTGAATATTTCATCGCGAAGATTCGTATTTTTCTCTGGGTGATTGTCATTCGAAAAGGTCCAAGAGCGACAGGCGCGTCCGGACAGCGGCGCGGGGAACAGCAAAATCAATTATTCATCCGAATTGGCCAGGAAAAAGTCCTAATTATCCGGAGCAAATACAACCTTAATACGCAGAAGTGAACTACCTCCTCCTTCGTCTACTCTCTCTTTTTCTATCTTCAAATCCCCGGCTACGACCACGCAGTCACTCTTCGGCACAACCTTCTCCTTCTTACCGTGAATAACCATTTGTATTTCCAATTAGCTTTGCTAATAAGAAGACGGAGGCATTGCCGTAGTTTAAAAAAAATGTATAACCTCATCCAGCCACTGGGGAAATAAAGAAAAGCGCCGTCCCGGTATGACAATACCGACGGGTCGGGCGGGGTAATATTGGGCGAACTACAATTAAAAATCCTTGCTTCACCCTCGCTTAACCCTGGCTCCTCCTTATGTCATATTAACGACCGGTACTGTGCAAGGATCGCTACGGGGATATACTAAACAGAGAATATTTTTTTTTGCCAATTATATGCTTGACCCCTTCGCATTTTTTTTTATCTTCACACTTTCTTTTATTTCGATGTCGCGATATCTTTTTTTAGCATTGTGTCGATTTACTTTATACGGCGCGACAGCACTATTTTTTGTCTGTAGAACGAATAAAATAGATTATAAAAATATATCTGAGAGGAAAAATATTCCATTTTTCTATATAATCGAGATGGTTAACTCAGATAAATGGAGAATCAATACAAAACCTATGTTGATTCTCTTGATTTAACTACATTAAATAACACATTAAATTATTATAAATTTTAATATTACTTTTATTATTTTATACAGGATAATTATTTAATTATACTTTATCTGTATATATTGGAATTGCAAAGTGTTATAAAAAATGTAGATTGTGCTTTAATAATTGATTAAGAATTGACGAAAGATTATAAAAAAATTAATTAATTCGTTATCGCAATAAATATGTCTATAATTTTATATTATGCAAGATTTCTATTATATATTGTTGTTAAAACATTATTAATATCATAGAAGTTATATCTCTACAGATTCTGTAAACATATTACATACATTGTATGCTTAAGTATGTCTATACGAAAGAATTTATAATGCTGAAAAACGTTGCCTCCGTAATAATCCATTTCCGCGAATATGAGACTATACCTATGTTTGCAAACTCGGATTCTAATTCCCGCGACTCCGCTAGGGCTTTTGTTGTCGTGTCGCTCATCAAAGTCATACTGAGGTCAATCGAGCGACAGCCAATTCGAAGTTAGTCGCGATAAGTCTTGTCAGTCGTGATAGATATTTCATATAGAATGTATCGTGCTGTGAAGATTACACGAATCAGTGGAATGTGTCCAAAGTGTTAAATAACATTTTTAATTATAATAGCGAGAAACTTTTTGTCGTTCTATCTTCGCTTATTCTAAATGTAAGTACAAGTTTATGTTACAAAAATATAATATGTTCTCATTTTTAAAATAAATCTATCGGATTCTTTATTTTCTATTAGAAAGTTTCTATAAGATTATTTAATAGAGATACTGTTACTTTAAAGAGTTATTTTCTGTTAAAATATAGTGTTAGATTAATATTAAAGAGAGTTACATATAGTATTTTTAAATTTAATATAATTCGAAGTCTATTAGATATATTCTCTAATTTATTGTAAAATTAATGATATCAATATAAAATTAATCTTATAATTTATTTATCATTCTTTCAGTACAAATATGAGAATTAAAACAGTTCCAAGACATAGAATGCTCCAAAGCAGTATTAAGATTGCATCTGCATCAAGAAGTTCTTCAGAGGAGAGTGACGCGGATATTGAAAAAGATTATGATTCTATAGGTGCAATAAATGTGCAAGATTCATGTCAGGTAGATAATTATTATGACATTTTTTATTCTATTATACATTGTAAAATTAATTTTTAGTTAATTATCGAAATTAATAATTATGAGAAAAACAATGATTAGATTACTTAAGAAATTTCATACGTATGTGAATATAAAAATTGGCATGCGATTTTAGCATTTATATCCTTTATTTTTCTAATACTAAGACAAATTTTATTTAAATTTTATTTAACAGGCATACGCGTTACCTTCAAAGATTCTTATTCCGATTACAACGTTTACTAGTCCGAACAATGGAATGTCCTTCTCTTCATCCACCAGCACGTTACCATCATTGATTAACAACAATAACGTGGAAGTTATGAATCTATCAACAAAGGATAATCCTTCCAATCATATTGATGACATCACGACAGATACCTCCGCTGAGCCAGAGGACAAATTAAAGGATTCCTTCTTGTATAAGATCATGACCGATCCAAACTTTGTGAAGAATATACAAAGGAACAAACAAAAAAAATTTGTCTGCATTTTTTGCAAGGAGGAATTTGTGACGTGTGAAGAATTGACAAATCATATGGAGGCGAAAAAGAACGAAAGTAATCAAATAGTCTGCTGTGCCTGCAAAAAGATATTCGCTGAGGAGAGATACTTAAGATATCATCAGAGATGTCACTCCGACAGGACTAAGTTCACCTGTGACATTTGTACCAGGAAGTACACGAGGTTGGACAATTTGGCGAGGCACAATGTTCTCCACGTGAACCCCGACAAGTTCTGCTGCTCGATCTGCAACAAGACGTTCACGCGTAAGGATCTGCTCAACAAGCACCGCAAGAGTCATGATAAGTATAATCTTTACTGTGTGAAATGCGGCAGGTATTTCAAAAGTATTATCACTTTAGGAAATCATCAAAAAAGTCATCGTGAGGTATCGAACGCTTCGAATATACTTGTTCACAAGTCTGAGAGTTCAGTTTCTCCTGAGAATCTAATCTGCAAAACTGAGAATTTGGTTTCTGCCAAGAATAAAGTTTACGAAGCTTATGATTTAACTTTGGGCGAGAGTTTAGTTTGCAAAACCGATGATGTAACTCACAGAATTTAGAATTTACTTTCCAATATCTATTAGACAAATTAGATATATAGACACACATGTCTGATTTGATTTCAGTTTCTTATATTTTCTAGTAATAAACGCAAAACTTTTCAAGGCGAATGTTACTGAATAAAGTATCATGTATTTTACAAAAAGACTTAGTCTTGTTAAACACTTGTTTGTAACATGAACTTTCGTTCATATAATTATCGTAAATTTATTATATAATAATTCTTTACTATATAATTCATAGATTTAGGTATTTGTAATTTTTTCAATTTATTATTTCACGAAAAGCTATATGTGAAATTAAATGGATATACTTTCAAAATTATTTGGATAATATATAAAGTAATATGCATATATGTATAAATAATATACATATATATGTATGCGTATTTTCTGATGCTGATTTAATTTGTTATTTATATTGTGTTATCGTGATATCTATTTCTTGAGATCATTATCTAGAATAATTACTTAATTATAATACATAACTTACTATTTGATAAACGTTAAATGATCTTATTTACGTCAACTTTTCTCCATGTTATAATTAATGTTATAATCCATGTTATGAATATTAGATACTTTTCAAATATACAGAAATATATTCGAATTTATGCTGGAAAAAAATTATCTTTTTTGAAATATTTCATTTTAATTTAATTGACAATTCAAAAAGCCTATTCCTTTCTTTCTCACAAATAGGATATGAAGTATTAGGAAATATATGGAATACGATGTATCTCACGTGTAATCGCATATATCCAATCACGAGGATTAGAAAGGTCACTTTCTTTAGACTCTCTCGCCACTCTTCTCATCCCTTTTGGCTTTGCACGTTCATACATTTTTTTCATAGCTCTCTTCGCTGTTAACTCTCTTTCTCACTTGCAATTTAATGCAATTAAGTCGAGCGTTAAAATATCGTTCTTAATTCGCCGCCGGCACCCTTTGTTTTAAACGTGGTTTTAGCGCGAGCGACTCACGTTAGAGGCATCCCTTTCTCTCTCTCTCTCTCTCTCTCTCTCTCTCTCTCTCTCTCTCTCTCCTCTCAATTCATCTTTCTCTCTCATTTTCTACTTTCTTCTTTCTCTTACATAGCATACAATTCATTTTTCCGTAAGAAGCACATACACGTCATTTCCATGCACAGTGCATAACTTTGATGCTCTGTTACCACAAACTCTAGCTGTCCTCCACGAAATACTAATTTTTTTTTAAGAATCCTTTACAAATTTCTCGGGGCGACAAAGAAAAATTTTAGCACCTGGCGATGCTCAAAATTTAGATTTCAGCAATATAAGAAATTGAAATTCTTCAGATGTAACATATGTTTCTTTGTGACTAATATGAAACTCATTTTCTTTAAATATGTAGCATTTTTACTTCAGACAGAGAAAAAAATTTACTAGAACGTTTTCAGATAATATTATATTATGAATCTTTTATCTATAATTATTACAATTTTTTTAAATACAATTATTTCTATTTTTATTTATTCAAACATCAAACAATTAATTATATATTTATATTTAACTTAAATTTTCCTCTACCAATTCCGTTTCCATTTTTCCAATTCCAATCCATTTTTCATTCTTTATATTACTAACCACATTCGTTCCGTATTCTCTTTGTTCCTGGTATCCTGAAGAACTTTGGAAAGGTTTTTTCGTTACGACATTGAAAGAAAGCACAACGAAGTACTCAAAGATAGAGCAATAGGAGAGTCCGCCAATTTTCAACATCTCTTTTTCTTTCTCTTTCTCTTTCCTTCCTTCTGTCATCCCGGAATTCTCCTGTGTCCCTTTGATCCACTTACTCATCGTATCGCATATGCGGACTCGACCAAAAATGTAACAAAGTTTTCAGGGATGTCCTGTTAGAGAGACTAGTACAGATTCTGCGGTCTCTTTGGCGAGCGTCGAACCCAGTTCTTGCTGGATGAACGATGTCCTCTCTTCCTCGTTCTCCGTTAACCTTCTCTCTACTGCAATATACTTGAACGTTATCCTGCAGGTACTCAGAGTGATTATGCGTGACGAGTGACTATGTAAACTCTGGAAAACTATGTATGGAATTGCTCGATCTTTTGAAGATTATAGAATTTGTAATTATTATGGACACAGTATATAGGCTAATTTTTAAATAATTTTAAATAATTTTATAGCAAACATATGCTTTTTTCTTTGATTTTTATCTTTATCTATTTTTAACATCGAATGATTTAAAATATAAAAGTATAAAGTATATAAATGATAAAATGTAATTTTCCTGATATACGTATGCACTTTTCTTTCCTTAAAATTGCAATAAATATTTTTAATCGATAGAATCCTCTTAATGAAATATTAATCCTTAAACGTAAAAGACGTATAAGAATATATTTTCTTGATAGACATTTTAAGATTGTTTAGCTTCTCACGTTGTTGTTTAATCTCTCCTTGTGCCGAAATTTAAAGCATTATACCGTAGAAGAATCTCTTTGATGTCGCGCTTTACATGCAATATTTACATGCTATCGAGGGAAGACTTTAAACTTCTTAAAGATATTTTGAAGGCCCGGAAGTACTTTCAGCGAGCTTGCTGCATTAAGAATTCAGGGGAGGGGCACAGTGGCATTTATTCATTCAGGCATTAATGAAAAGACTATATGGCTGGTGCTTTGTGTACAGAAGTTGACACAAGAAACAAGACAGAATGTACTTTTATACGTTTATCGATAGTCTTTCAATCGGCAAAATTTTAAATAAAGTGGAAATTTTTATTTTTCTGTTATTTATTGATCTTTTAATATAAAAGATTAAATTCTGAACTCCTTGTTTTTATGTATTAATATTAATATATCATTAAATTTTATCAAATTTTATGTATCATTTTGAAGTCATAATTGTTGCAATTGATTAATCGATTATAACATAAATCACACGATCTGACATTAATAATACATTAATATTTCGTATCTACATAGAAAGAACGATTTTATCGAAGTATCTAAAGATTTAGGCAGATAAATCTAAAAACAATTTTATTGGATTATCAGAATAATTATGTAAGGAGTTCAATACCGCTGCAAAAAGTTTTGGCACTTTAGCAATCATCTTGAGCGTTATATAATTCTTATATAATTATTTTTGATAATTCAACAAAATTATTTTTAGATCTGTATCCAGCTAAATTTTTAAATATTTCAGCAAAACCGTTTTTTCATGTAGCCGAAAAAAACAAGAAAAGCGACAAGAAGTGAATAAAAGCGCGTAAGCTAGGGCAGAGACTTCACCGCAATTTTAAAAACAGCTAAGCATTCCACGTGTTTGTTTGAACGCGCACAATGCCATTAGAAGTGCCTTTTAGTCCCTCTATCGTCCTCGCTGTCGTTGTCGTTGTCGACATCGTCTACATTGTCGTCTCTCGCGGCCGATCCCTCTCTCTATCCTCCTCCAACCTCTCCCAGGTTGGAAAATCCGCTCACGGCGAAATGCAGGACGTTCTATATACGCGACGTTGAGTTTTTTCATGGTTTTCGTCTGGCACTTCGACGCTCATTTTCCCAGACCGCACGCGTGTGCGCACACGTGTTGTACACGCGCGCCATGGCTGCTGCTCTCTCCTCAGTTGGGGTCATAACGTTTGCTTTCCTGCTTACTTTGCATCACCGAACGGAAAGCCATCAAAATACCTGGGAGATTAAAACCGACGCGAACGAAGCAGGAAGCACGATATCCTTATTTTGACGGTGAGTCAATTTTTATTAACTATTCCGATAAAAATACAATTTCGCTTTTAAATCTTGATTTAGAATACTATAAAAATTATTTTATTGCGAATAAAATTATTAATGTATTAACTCTTTTTTAAGGAATTTATAATACGGATTAGTTTTATTTTTTAATGTTAATTTAATCAAAAAATAAATTAGATACTTTATTACCACTCTCTTTTTGCTCAAATTTCTTTGTTGTTTATTTTACTGTCGTGATGCATATTTGTGTGCGCGTGAACAAGAACTCGTTACGAAGACATATGCCCTTTGAGTTTCGTCCGTTTATATTAATATTACATCAATGCCATGTCAAAGGGCGTATCCTTCTCGTCGTCACCCTTTACGTCTACCCTTTTGCACTTCGATGAGGCTTTCTCGGGCGACCAAGTAACGTGTGACTGTTTCGTGAATAATTAGTGGGTGAGATGTTAACCGATGGATTTGGAAATTTCTCCAAATGGCTCAAAAATATTCACATTTTGTTCGTCCCACGAGTCCCAGTAATTTCCCACGAGTGTTGCCGTATGATAATTAAAAAATGGTGTACTTGCCCGTAAAATTAATTCTTTGCGTTTTTAGCGAACTCAAATTACATTGTTCTGCATGAAACGTTTCTCCTTTTTTCCAGAAGTATCTAGTATACTTTGTTTTAACCAGGATATGTATAATACGCGTATCTATTATAACTATCGAATGAAATTCCTTCTACTATATTTTAAATTGCGAATTGCTTGATTTTATAATTTATTTAATAGAAAATTTCCAATGTATATTTATACTTTAATTACCTATTTGTCTCACAAGTGGATAGCTACATTGATTTCGGCTGACTTACTGCAAAGCGGTCATCAAGGGGATATGAAATTTCTTGTAGAGAGAGAGAGAGAGAGAGAGAGAGAGAGAGAGAGAGAGAGAGAGAGAGAGAGATTAAGAAGAAAAAGAAATCGCCTTGCTTAGGCAAACGTGGCCAATAATCGCTGATAATTTATTAAGACAAAAAATGCTGGTGGATCCTCCCTACCGGTCTTCTTGCGTTATTTGAGAAAATAAATATTTGATATCTCAAACAAAGACTCGGCTATCCTCTCCTTGCCAAAGAGCTAAAACGGAGAAACAGGAGAAAGATAAGGGTGCGACCGCGAGGAGGAAGGACCAAGGATCGCAGCTAAAAAGTACCGAGGGAGAGGGTCGATAAGTCTCTCGCCTGCTTAAAGACGCCGGCGGGGTGGCGACTCATTGGCCGTGAAATATGGGGTAAAAGGTTCGATAATTGATTACACAGATTTTTTATGCCGCAAGAAGCCTTAATTCTCGCCGCTACCCCTCAGAAATAATTCCGCGCCGGGAAACCTGAGCGACGAGGCCGGAATATCGAATCTCCCTACCGACTTTCCCTTACAAGGGAAGACAATCTCGCGTCGGTCCTTACAACCGGTTCAGAGATTAATCGAAATCGCGATTGTGCTTTTCACAGGCGACGAAAATAAGCGGCGTATCGGTGAGGAGATGTCTGCTTCATCGAATGAATGTCCCCACGATAATCTCTCATCTTTTCAAGAGAATCATTTTAGTCTGTATCAAATATAATGTGATAATGTTCATAGATTCTCTTCTGATTGATCGTTGTCTATCACTTTTTAATCAACTTGCTTCCTACAATTTTATTTATTTATATTTTTCAGTGAATTATTTTTCCATAAACTATTTACTTATTCGTAATTATATTTTTATCATACGATAAATGAAATTACAATGAAATAACGCTTCTGTCACTTGCGGTGCTGACATATTTCGCAACTTACACTAAAACACGCGTATATTATGCACGTGAAAAATGAATTAATTGTAAGTCGACTTCAAAGAACTGATTCGAATAATTTCTCAGCAACCATCAATGGGTGACGATATTACAGGTTGGTTGATCCGAGGCTGATACGTGAGAGCCAATATAGGAACAATGCTTCCTATTACATGAAGGGTGCGCGGCATATTTTCTGTGCGAAGAAACACGGGTTCTAATATTAATTTTTATCGAGACCCAAAGCCGAGGGGGCACAATAGGGGAAGCTTTCGCGGTGTGCGCACCAGAGACGCGTATATTGATTAAAGCGTGGACCGACGGCCGAGGAACGCTTTGTCTCGCTGTGAAAAATCATTGCCGCGCTAATTCAAAAACATCGAAGCTGGCAAGAGATGCCATTAAAGAGAAAGAGAAAGACGACTAGGGATGGAAGGAGAGAGGCAATTTGTATGCCTCCTCCCTCTACCACGCGTATGATCGTTCGATGGAAAAATATTGCGTCCCCGATACCGATAGCCTCTCGACTGCTTTGTTATTATACTAATTAAATTGCTCGTTCTCTCTCTCTCTTTCTCTCTCTCTGCGATATTCTTTCTTCCAACCACATCGCTCCATCAGTCGTTTCAGTCGTTTGAACTTTTTCTTTTCGCCGCCAATTCCGTGAGGCTTCGCTATCGATCTCTTGCAAAATATACTAATTAATTGGTGTGGAAAGGATTATTCGATCTCAGGGTCGATTAACATTTTGTGTTTGATGAGCATTTAGTTTCATATATTTAAGTACATTTATATATTTACAATATTATAATCATAACTATTATTTCTTTGTTATTTATTCTTACAATAATATAATAATATTTCATATATATTTCTAATATAAATTTTATATATGTTAATATATAATTCAAACGAATGATAATCTTAATTCCCTGATATAAAAAATATAATTATAATAAGTTTGATTTGTGAGAATTAGCGCTGTACTATGTGCGCGATAAATTTCAATATTATTAAATTATATTTTTCATATTTAATTACTAATTGTATACATATTTCGGCTAACTCTTCAGTACATACAGATGAATCCAAATTAAGTAAACGATGTAATTAAGTAAGCGATGAGATGCATAAGACGTATAAGGCTATCGTATCCGCATGTTTCCATGTGAGGTGGTCAATCATTATTTCTTAGAATGAAAACGTAGCCTTATACGTCTTATACATCTCTTATCTAATTACATAGATTCATCTAAAGATAGCTAAAAAGCCGAAACATGTATACAAATTAGTAATTAAATATGAAAGATACAATTTAATAAATTGAAATTGATCGCGCACATAGTAGAACGCTAATTTCCATAATAACCAAACTTATTATAATTATATTGTTAATAAAATGTAATTAAAACGATATATTTGCCATCCTGATAATTTAGTTTTTTCTTATCGCTTGTTTACGTATTTTGTGTATAAAAAGATGAGAGCTTACTGCTCCTAAACATATAAAAATGTTCTTTCCGTCATATGGAATACATAATTGCTTCATCGTGCGTATTATTAACAAGCACGCTTTTCACGTATGTTTCCCGAATCTGGTTTTCAGAGAAGAATTAAATTAGCATAAGAGCCCTTGGATACGGTAGAGGATGGATAATTCAATGATACCGCAGTGTTACATTTCAAACATTCGTTTTAATTATGATACGAAGCGTACGGTAAGAATTTATGTTTTTCGTAATTACATGCGTAGCGGTCTTTTACACTGCGTTTCTCGCGCAACAAATCATATCATCTGCCGCTGGTCTCTTCTTCGTATGAATTTTACGTAACTCGGAAATCGCGGACACAGAATACGCGTCATTCCCGCTTCCCTCAACAGCTCCCGTTTTTGTGAATTCTGACGTTTCAGAATACATGGTCTTCTTTTATAAAGAGGAATGAGGCAGACACGGGGAACGGATCTTTATCCACAGAAGAACTATTATTACATACATTTTTATAAATTTTATACTTTTCATTTGATTTATTTTAAAATATCTAACGCACTCTTTTCGCTTGCATGTTGCGGTACCGCTCTCCAAATCATAAAAGGAATAGGGAAAAAATGTAATTTGCCGTTTTTCGCATTGAATTGTTATTTTTATTAGCGATGCTGACACGCTTGTTACAAAAATACTATACACATCCTGTCGCATCTTGCTCTATAAATGAGCGACCAGACAGTTTTTTGACCTCTCTCATTATTTCGTCTAAAATTAATTCTAACTCGAAAGAATATCTTGTGTATGATTCTGTATCACCAAACAACGTGTTTACTTCGGACTGTCTGCGTCAATTAATGACGGGGACTCGGGCGTATGAATGGCGTAGGCGATATTGAAAGGACGGAGGTCTCGCTACGAAGACTTCCGTGCAATCTTCCAATCGTTGTTGCGGCCGGCATTTACACGGATGTAGACACATGCGCGCGTACGGGATATCTCGCGAAAGGAACGCGGACGAAAATTGATTCGATCATCATCGTCGAGGCGGACGAACGCGCGATAGGTCGCTCTATAAATAGTGGCACCGATGATGGAAGGCTTTAAATGAGATGATATGGCCTCTGATCGACCCAATCAATGCCTCCACTAAATCATCGTCTAAACTGACGGCCGCAACACCACCGGCTAATATACACACGCTATGGAACGCTGGTGGGCGACCGGAAGAAACCACTCATCCAGCGATTGCCGATGCATAGCGTCTTTATGAGGATACGTTACCATGAGTGCTCGTCTATGCGAACCCGTTGTCGCGTATTGTTAGATGAACTCTTTGTTTTTCGATTTTGCGAGAATAACTTTGACAGCAAAACAAACTATACAGTGTGTGTTTTTTTTTTTAGATGTAGTATATTGCTATCATTATTGACTTGTAAAAGTTACTTAATATAACAGTAAACATTTTTTAATAATTATAAGAAAGATCATTTATCGACTTATTATTTAGTAATTTGAATATTAAAATCTTATTGTTTAACAAGATATATACAAATGTGATTAAAAATGTTCATTTTATAAAACAAAATCAAAACAAAATTCTAATCTCTTTCTTCTTTTATAATTCTTTTGATTTATTCAAATGTAATTAATACATTAATTAATAACACAAATATAATTAAATTAAAACAAAATAAAATTTATAATTGATATTACTTAGCTTTTTATAATCATTTTTATATGATTCAATTAATAATTAATCAAGTTTTCGAAAAAAAATAGAGATATATGCATACACTTTGTCGTGTAGTAGTTTGTTAAATCCAGGAAGTGCATCATTTTAAAAGGTTTTGGTTATAACTCCATGCGGGATGTAGTCTGTTGATATGAAACGAAAAGTGCGTCGCACGCGTGACTGCATCGTTACGCACAGCGTCCGTTGTGACATATTCCGATTGAACAAAAAAAAAAAGAAAAAAAGAGATGATAATTAGTGCCGTGGTTCACCTGTCGACATTGATGTGTGGCTACGAAACATTCATTCAAATGTTCGAATGTTCACATATACGAGAAATTGAAGAGAAGA